CCGAGAACAGCCTGTTTCTAAGCAGCACCTAAAATTTGGGCCGCACAATTTTGCATTGCTTATACCAAAATTTCTCCTCTGCTCTTCAGAAAGGTGTAAAAAAAAAAAAAAAACCAAAAAAAAACACCAAACAAAAAAACCCTACGACAAAAGAACCCCAAAACTCAGCCCAAAGGTGCCTGCAATAATGTAACACTGCAAAGGAGTCTTTTGAAACAATATATTTCTGCTGATCTTTTGAAATTAAGCCAGCTACAGCGACCCTTGTTAATATTTTTACAATCCATTTGCTTGTAAATCTATTAGGAGATGTGCATATGTTCCCCAACTATTTCCTAGATCTTCAGCAGATATGTAAATGGAACGATGTTTAGATTTTTCCTGACAGATGATACAAAATGCTTGTGCCATTTCAGTTCCAGTGCTTGGATAAGTACGCTCATAACTAGGATTTCTGTTTGTTTTCCTTTTCTAACCCACTTTCAAAAGCTTCCCTTTAAATCTGAACCAAAACTTAACACAAAAAAAAGAGGAGAAAAAAAAAAAGAAATTATCTCTGTCCCAAAACTCGTATCAATAAAAGCTCCTGAAATGAAAAATCGGAAATTGCTTGCAATTGCTAAGGGCTTGTCCCCTTTTTTCTTCAGAAAATGACAGAATCACCTAATTGATCCTTCGGAGGGAAGAGTTTGTCAGGAGGCCTCTAATCCTCGTTATTACTTTTCCAAACGTGCAACAAGAACGTGAGATTTTCACAACTGAGTAAAAGCACAGTGTCTGGCTTTTTTCTTTTTTCTTTTTTTTTAATGTTAAATAAAAAAAAAAAAAAAAAAAGAAGGGGGGGATACCAGGACAGGGAGCAACTGGCCCATGGATTTATTTTCTCTCCTTAATGTGCAACCGGGCCTACTAAACCCAAAAAGCTACACGTGCAGATGCAAAGCGACGCGGTACGTTGCTGGCCCTACGAGGAGCGTACTGCTGTCCCTCCTGCAAAACCAGAACTGACAAAACCCAGGTATTTTTCAGAGTTGAATTAGAGGCACAAACTTTGGGCAGGAA